TGAAAGATGGGGTATTGATACAATAACCCATATTAGAAAACTTCGAATAATGAACCGAGAATTAACAAGAGATGTTGGCGTTTCGATAGAAAGTCAAATTTTCCGTACAATGAAAAGTGTTCTCGATCGTTTCCAATAAGAATTAAATATATGACTTACAGGACTAAGTGATCTTAACGTTAAATTTTGATTTTTACTGGGTGTTGAAATTTTATTGAGCGGAAGTAATGTTGATAACGAGAGTTTACAGTGGTGGCAGCGAGTAACTGATGGCACTATCTGTAGTTCTGAGGTCAATTATTGTTTAGTCTGTTCAAGTGATAAACAATAATACAGTCAAGGCGTAAAGGGGGGTTTTGAAAATATTTAATTAATATATTACATTAATATATTACATTAATATCTATGATTTTGAAACTATCAATTATTTTCAACAATAATTAATTAATTAAGTTTTTTTACTAAAAACGTCACACTGCATATACATTTTCTTAATTGAATTGAATTATAATCAATTATTATAAAGTAAACCTATTAAAAACAAGCATTCGATTGTCTATTAAGGCTATATTACATATACATATATATATGGAACTATCCATGTGGGGTTTCAAAGAAAATATAAATAAAACTCACTTGTCACTGAGGCTCCAATCTTCATATTGATTTTTATTTAAATATATTATTTTTACTATGCCATTATGAGTGGAAGACAACATCCTTCCATGGGACATCTTGCAAGACTGGAACTTTTTCAGGTAATTTTTTATGACTCGAAGACAAATAGATCGGCCATGACTTGACTGGTGTTTCTTTTTAAAGCGTCGAGTTTTAATGACAATTATAGACCAATCTTACTGTAGTTCAATCATATCGAACACTGTTGCCAACGACTGTACCTTAATCATGGGAAGTACTACAAAAATGAATTTGTTTAACTTTATTTTTAGCACTTCTAGCTAATGGAGTTTAATTGTGGGTCAGTAGCCAAATGGGTTCCATCTGGGTCGAATTCATGCCACATTAGATTGGAAACACGTAGGCAAATATAGACCGTTTACGTTACTCCATTTTGAGCTTAAAACATTTGAACTTGGAACTTTTGATGGCCTAAAAATGGATGAACTTTATTCAATGAAAACTGTATTTTTAAGAAATAATTCCTTATACTGAGAACTCAGAATAAGTATACATACTATAATTAAAAATGGGAGTTTATTCTTAACTCAAAAGAAAAAAATAACAATAGCTGTACAACATTAAAATTACAATTAAAAATCAAATTATATTAAAATCAATCCAATAAATGGGAACACCCTACCATTATTATTGCACATAATTTAGAGGTATAAGTTTTTAAACTTAATGAGAATTATAAATAACTTGAACAGAATATAATATTTTTCAGCATGTATATTGTACAAAACTTATTGCAAATCGTTTTTAGAGTAATATATATCCTAGATTTAGTTTGATGGACTAAAGTTTAAATTTTAAAAAGATAAACTGAAGAGAATGGAAATGGTTTGACAAATAAAAAGATGCATTTTGCCGAGATTTAGAATGTACTTGTATATATTTAGTCATCTCTGGCAGTTAATTTCATGCGCATAAAAATGGTATGGATGATGTGAACTCGGAAATATTTATCCAATATTGACTTAAGAATTATACATAACATATAATAATCCATTTTAATTCTGATTATTTTCTTTCTAACTGTGGAACGGAAGTTAACGAGTTGAAGGAAATATACAATATTATATATACAATTAAATAGATGTATATATTGGGTTACAGTACACATTAACCTTGATGGCGAATGTAACATATAATAAAATTCATTTAGCTAAATATTAATCCCATCATCGGGTTGTGTCTGTCCTAAATTACTGGAACAAGATATCGGTCATTTGACTTTTACAGATTGAAATCTGTGCAGAATTCATTCATAAGAAGAGGGTGTAGGTTATATACAGACTCGTTCTATACAGATTTCAACGGCGAGCTTATAAAAGTGATGTTTGAAAACCGTTGTATGAGATTTTAGAGATTTAAAAACTAAGTTTTAGAAACTTAAGAGGAGGGTATATTATTTAACCCAGTGTCGCGGTGCTCGTAGTATCGTGATAGTTTTCTCATATTTCCGAACGCTCTGAATGTTTTGAATAAGATAGTGGTTCAATATGTCGAATTTTCCGTTTGAAATATCAGCTGACATCTGATAATATTTAAAATTATAAGCACGCAAATATGTATATGCCCATCATTTTTTTTACGTAATTATAAGTTGATTGAACTTCTTTTTTTTTCGTCGAAGGAAAAGAATAAGCTTTTTAAGGCTTTCTCTTACAAAACTTTACTTACAGCTAATCTTGAATCGTTCCACTTCGTTGTTTTTCGGTTCCCTCGTTTTCTTTATCTTTATGGCTTTCAATTCAGTGCGATTCTGGTTCCATTCTTAAGTCTGGCGATCATTTATAATATCCCTGCAATGGTTTTAGATACAAACGAAGTTTCACATCCATACAGCCATATGGATTATACGCAAGTTCTGAATATTCTGAGCTTTGTTACCGTTAAGCTTTAGAGTGACCGCCATGTGTTATAGAGTCGCGAAAGACGCGAATATATCTTTTTAAACTGCTTCGACAATTTCGTTTGCGCCATCTGTTTTAGATACGTTATATTTGATTTAAGGTAAATCATATACTGTGAGCTCGTCCCAGATGGTCAGATGGTAAACGCAAAATAATACATTTCGACGGACATACTAAAGGCAATTTCAGACGATATATTTCTTCTCATCGGTTAAAGTATTTGGAATAAAAAGCCTTTACATATATCAATCAAATATTTTTTCACTGTAGCCCTTTTCACATTTTTTATTTAACATTAGATTGAAGGGGCTAAATATGGAAGTAGGTTCTCAAAAAAGGAAAATACGTGATTTTTTTAAAATATCAAGCGCTTGTCAATTCTTGAAAACAAAAAGAATGAGATAACCCCTTGCTTCCCTTCTGTATATATGTTCAATTTAACTTTAATCATTCGACTGATAATTGGTGAATGAAGTGAAAAAGTATATCTTCAATATGCTGATATGAAAACTCTTGTCTGGATGGAACGTTTATAAGAGCTTAGTATTCAAATTTAAATTGCTCAGTCCAATTTTTAAAAGTATCTATTGGAACATAAGTTTCTTGGCCGATAATATAAGAAAAAATTTTAATAGCTTATTGAAGTAATCTAATAAGAAAAATCCACCTATTTTTCAATGCAGTACAATTAAGAATTTGTCATGGATTTCGGTAACATGTTATGAATGACACCTCATCATTATCTATTATGTTATCTGCTTTGTAAAATGGAAAGTGAATGTTTAAAAAAAACAGGTTTTTTAATATGGACCTTACCCTTAGTTATGCAATACAACATTATTCAGATATCTCACAATACTGGATCTTTTCGAAATAATTTTCGATAACATGTCGTAATAAAGTTGGCAATAGTTTAGTCATAACTTAACAGATGTTCTAAAACGGAAAGTGTTGTGTAACACCATATCCATTGCAATTTTACATTGTCTAAATCTTTATCTCAAGCTTAACGCCAAAAAATGAAATAGGTAGGTGTAGGATTTTTATTTTCAAATAAAAACGTGAATATCGCACCTCCAGACCTTACGAGATACTATAAAATCTTTTTGTAGACACAATGGTCTTACAATTGGTCTTTTAACACTACGCTCTTCTGCGATACAGGCAAGGAACCAAGAGCGAAAAATCCTTGCTAAAAGGATTAAGCGTTACATAGCTGGATGCTTAACCGGCAACTAAAACAGGCAACCCCAGCAATAGCCTAGGACTGTATGGACTTATCACCCGCATACCTAAAACCAATTGGTTTTGAAACCAAAATAATTTATACTCTGACTTGCTTAATAACGACTATTAGATTGATGATATGGAAATCATTTGGAATATGAAGTAACAAGCTCTTGCAAAAAAGTTTAAATAAGATCAACTCTAAACTTGACTTTATCTGCCTTTTTTGTGACTCAGCGATTATGATAAAATTAAAAACCGTTCTGAGGCATCGAATCAACCAAAAGCTAGTTGTGTTAACATCGTTTTATCCAATGAGGCTCAAGGAGTACCTATCGAATGACATGGTAATCACATTATTGTCGCCAAATTATAAACTAAAGCAAGACCATATATTTATGTACCCTCAAGACACGAAGATCTTCAACGAAAAGTTGTACTCTGTTCTGAATAGCTGTAATAGCGTTAAAAATAAAACGCTAATGGAAGACTTCAATCCACAGATTGAAGGTAACAACAGAAAAAAAAAAAAAGAAAGTAATGCGAAAACTTGCGATGCGCTCTATGGCTGTTTCCTGAAGTAAGTAGCGGTATGTATTTCATTATAAGGTTGCAACATATTACGACATGAAAATATATTCACTGGAATATGGATATTCCCAGACCACATAATGCAGAACCAAAATCATTCGCCACAATATAGCGGTACTCAATTCTCGACGTTCGCAAGAAGAGAAGCAGCGATGTGGCCAACATTCTTATAGGAGACTTAAAGCTGAAACTGATAGCCATCAAGATAGTACCAACTCACAAGAAAATACGTTTAAATAATAGATACAACTTTCTGAACTACTCACACTATCACACCAACAGCAACTCTATCACAATAACGATAGATTTTTAATGCCACGTGTTGTGGTGAACTAGCAAAAGTGGCATTCTTAGTATCATCACAGCAAAAATGCGGCACATATCATCTTTACTTCACGAAAACTCCTAAAGATTGCCCAACGCAGCCATTCATCACCCATGTATCCACACTATTTGATAAATCACAGCAGGATTCGGCTGCGCAATTGCCTATTAAAATAAACTAATTCGTTTTAGTCAATATTTTATATATTTTCATATTTATTTAACATTTATTTTTTCTTAAAAACTATTTTACTGGTTAACTCTGTACTTACCTTTTAAATTTTCTAGTATCTACAATATTTATAGCTTAATTATAATAATTCTATACATAACATAAACATTGAAATTTGAAGACATTTTGTCACCAATCATCCCTTGGCAAACGATATGTAGTGTTATCACTGCGTACGATTTTTAAACCTGCGCCATAATATGGAATTACATACGCTGATCCATCTGCCGGCCCCACTGCCTGGGTGGCAATTAGTACAATGTCTATTAGTTGTCCCAAGAACATACCACCAAGTGTGCAAAACTTTAGTAAACCAATTCCTGGGTAACCCAAATAAAATCGATCCGCTCCAAACATACCAAGGAATACTGCAAGTAATAAGCTCGTATCCAAGTGATAACCATTCCTATAAAAAATTAAATATTATTACATACATTAATTATTTAAATATTATGTTGTTTTGGCGAGCTTACGTCCATTTGCAAGGCATTTCACGTGTAAATGTAGTATTCCCCGTTTCTAAGCATTCGATACCGTCTACTGCCACACACCAAACTGAAAATAGTTTAAGAAACTCTATTAAATTTAAATTATAAAAAATAATATTTAATAATGACAACCTTTTGCTTTATTTTCCTTTGTGCAGCCTATTAGCTGTTGCGTTTCCGGATCAATGTACTTTCTGGCTGGATCGGGACATAAATATTGACCCATCAATAAGTCATTGCAGTCGTAGGGTATTGGTTGCGCTGTTTTTGTCAGTATCAATATTACACCTACAATAAGCCACAACATTTAAATTGATCAAATTTTATTTGATAAGTAAATTTTGTGAAATTTGTAAACAAAACAATTTTGTCATATGTTCTCGGGCTAGTGTTGTAAAACGTAAAAAAAATTTGGTTGTAAAAAAGTGTTGATAAAAGCATTATGCGCATAGAAACATTGAGTGTTTGCAATTTAGCAATAAGTTTCTTGTTGTCATTCTTTGATAAGTGATAGACTTAGGCAGTGTGCGACTTCGAGTAAATTTATAAATTTATAAATAAATTTATAAATAAATAAATTTGAAAACCATTTACCAATAATAATAAATAAGTGCAATAAATAAATAAAGAAATATTTACATAAGTGCAGTGCAAAAAAATCCCTATAAAATTTCTTACTTTACCTCAATTTACTCGAACTCGCACTCGGCCTTAATGTGTTTTAATAATATAATAAAAAATGTATACATTTATAAATTCATTATACATTAAACACTTTTCCATGCCTTAGTTTTGCAATGAATTTAATAAGGTATTAAAAATAATACAAGAAGCCTTAATCAGTGTACATACTAATAAGGCGTTTACACTAGCCTCAACTGACTGATTTGGTTTAAACATCTGAAATGAGAAGAAAATGATTGATTTCTGTATACAAAATCTTATATATGTAATTAAGATCCATACTCGCTCAATTGATCTCATTTTGCATAAATGAAATCCAACGAAATCCAACGGCATTTTAAAAGTTTGAGAAAGCTGTTTTTGACAAATTTACAAAAAAATATTAATAAGTTTTTGGTAGTTGCATTTCCTTGAAAACTAAGGACGTGTGCGAGTTAGGCTAAGTTGATGCTAAACCAAATGGGAGATTTTTTTGGATTTTTTACACTGCACACATTTGGCCATTTATCAACACGTATCGACACATCACTACATTATCGGCACAACTTAGAATTTCCCACATTTAGAACGCAACTTAGCCTAACTCGCAGACGACCTAAACACCTCTTTCTGGAACTTTGATTTAAACTTTGAAGTATTTAATTAAGGACGTGTGCGAGTTAGGCTAAGTTGATGCTAAGCCAAATGGGACTTTTTATGGGATTTTTTGCACTGCACACATTTAGCCATTTATCAACACGTATCGACATATCACTACATTATCGGCATAACTTAGAATTTTCCTTATTTAGAACGCAACTTAGCCTAACTCGCACACAACCTAAAGCTAAAAAAAAGTTTTCAGTTTATATTGTAAGATTTGAAGATATATTTTAACTTCATCTAACATTTTTTTGACATAGGCCAAAAATCAAATCAACAGGCATGTTAAAAATATCAGCTGTTTGAAATGAGAACATAAATAAATAAATAACGAATGTAAACACTTTCAAATGACTGATTTGAAATGAGTTAAAATAAAATCTTTTAAAAACAAAATTTTTTTAAATGGTTTATTATTTAAATACTTATCAATTAGCCCGTAAAAAAACAATATTATTATTATATAAGTTTAATATATTTATTGAAATATAAGCTTTTTTAACTTTGTGATTTGAGTTTTTCAAGCTGTTTTACTTAGCAATATAAAAAGTAATTTGTCAAACAATATATTATTTATCTACTATAAAGCCATAATTATTTTCACAAAAATTAAATTTTATTTTATTAATTCATATGAAGCCTCTAGAGACATATTAATATGTTATCATATAGGCAAACTATACACAATATATTTTTTGTCTATATTATAATTTCTATAATGTTTCAATTAAATATATTTTGTGAGCCACTCACTAGCAGCCTATAGTAACTTTTTAAGTATATATTTTATTTTTGCATTATTTTTAATTTATGTTTTTTAAATTATCACTCCGTAAAATTTACTAATTAAAGGTTTTTGTTAAATATATATTTTTTTAATTTCATATAAACTAAAATTTCATTAGCACGTTTAGTTAGTAGTAATTGTATAGTTTCGTTCTTCAATCCTTTTGGAAAATGTATTTTCACTTTTGAGGTTTGACCGAAAGTGCTCTCTATTATACCAATTTCACCAGTTGATAATTCAACATTTTTTCCCACATAATAATCTCGGTTCCCCTCTTTCTTAAACAAATTCTGAACGATAACTTGATTATCCCCTGAAACGCGTTGTATCGAACCTTGCTTAACTTTTCGTTTAAATATTTTGAATTTAGGCAACTCTTCTGAAATATAGTTTTTAGATAATGTATGCCACTCTATTTCACCCCAAAATGCTAAACGACAGGAGTTACTTTGAATATCCATATCCAATTTGGACGCAATAATTGTGGCATTCGTTCTGGCTATAATTGGTTTCTCAAATTCCAAAAGAACAAAAACTGTTTGATTACAATTTTGTGTTGTGTCGGAAGCTTCCAACTGTTCTATATATTCATATTCATTGTTTATATTAAATTTTTGTTCATCGCTATTCTCGTCAACATTGTGGAACAGTGTTATGTTAGCCATTACAGTGTCGTGACCAACAGTGCAGTGCAGTTTACTTTTTGATTTAATATCGTACTTAAAATATTCAATACGATTTAATCGAATACAAATTGCATAAAGCGAATGTAAATAGCCTGGTTTTGTTATAATGCCACGTTCCAACAATTTAGAGTTAAATTGCGTTACACAAACTCCTACGCGATCACCCATTTCCGCAACTGATACTGACTGTCGAAACATTTGTATGGACTTGACTTTTCGCTGCTCTGAAATTGATGGGATTTCCACCACATCTTCAACTTTAATTGTACCTTGCATTATTGTACCAGTACATATTGTACCCTGACCCTTTATTGAAAAGCAGTGGTCAACATAGAGAACCAGCGGACTAGTTATATCACGTTTTGGCACATGTATATGTGATTTAATACCACAGATAAGTTCCTAAAATGCATTGTATGTGTGTAGATGAAATAAGAAGTCTACATATATAAAGTTACCTCTATATTTATCATATTTTGAGCAGACACATTAAATATAGGCACATTGATTCCTAGTGACGTATTGTTAAGAGCCTTTTGTAGTTTCTTATTAAGTTTTATTAGCAACTCATTTCTTGTTGCCTCCTCCAATAAGTCAATTTTATTGACAACCACTATAACTTTCTTCTTCAATAATCCGGCAATGACAATGCATTCAGCTGTTTGTGTTTGTATGCCTTTTTGTGCATCAATTACCAACAGCATCAGATCGATTATTTGAGCACCTGATTGTTAACAAAAACACAGTTTTAATTTATTATAAATTTATCAATATTATTTAAATATTAATGGAAAAAACTCATACCTTATTTATAGCACAAAGTAAACGTACATACCTACCACCAATAATAGTTCGAACTAAGCTCGCATGACCAGGACAATCCACAAAAGTTAGTTGTAGTTTTTTTAAATCACACATTTCTGCAATTAAATGGTCCGGCGGTTCTTCTATGACAAGTGCACTGAATCCTAAGTCAAGTGTTATGCCCCGGTCTTTGGATTGTGGATTTTTGTCAAATGCTGCTGTGCTAGCAATTGAACTGAGCACACGAGCCAATGTTGTTTTACCGGAGTCAACATGCCCTAATAAACCAATATTAACATTCAATGACATTCCTACAGCTTTTTAAATACGTTTAAAAACATAACCATAATGTATCATAATTTCAATTTTTTCAAACATCTGTTTGGCGCTGCCACTTATTTTAATTACTGCTGTCAAACATTATTCATATCAACGTACATGACAGCTTACATGATTGTAATATTCTGTTTTGTGAACAATTAATTTACATCACAAACTTCAGCTTACATTTTAATCATTATCTTGTAATTAGTAGTTTTTAAAAATGATACATTAATATATATTCTTTATTTTGTTATCAAATATTATACATGAAAATAAGAACTATATATTTTAGAGAAATTATGTACTTAAATAATCTATACGCATTAAACTGACAGGTGTGTGTTGACAGAAATTGATCTATCCATCAGAGATTTGCAGCAAATAGCTGAGTATCATATCATACACACAGTCATATGACGAATGGTCACGGCAATTTTGCACTCTTTTTCGACATGATTAAAAGACATATTATGCAGAGATTTATATTTCTACTTTTACTACTATTTTGATATATTTTTTATGCCTAAATGTAATTCTATGCTTATATATCCATACAAAAGTATTCGTATTTACTTCTTATAGTCACAAACTCTAACTTTTATTACTGAGCAATATTATTTTAGACACCGTTAAAAAATCCTTTCTCTCATTCTCAATTTTTTAATTTACATTGAAAAGAACAACAATTTCAAAATCGACGTGATTATGACTTTCTATCTGGCATGGCCCTTTGATACCAATATTTAACAATACGACTTTTAGTTAGTTGGTTAAGGAGCGCTATCTCTGAGCTTCAAATTTGACTGGGCATGTGTTCGATTGCCGGTACTTGCAGTCTCAAACAATTATTTACGAATAATTAAATGCAAGAATTATTTCCAAGACCTCTGATGATGCATATTTGTCAATAATTGAAATAGCTGTATGGTCAGCCAAAAATTTAACTAATTAAAATAATATTATATAAAAGATTTTTTCACATTGTGGCTTTCGATGCTTTCAACCTACCGAAAAAAACAAACTCCGTGCAATACGTTAAATTATAAATTATATGGATGGTCTACTAATATTTTTTTTACATGTGGCAACATCTATAAAACTGCTGTCAAATTGCACATACTGACCCCGCATTTTGCAGGAAGATTTTTACAATAAACTCAAACTTTTATTGTTTTATATATTTTAATTACTGTGAATGTAAATTTAAGTTCATATATTTTATTAAAAAAACTAGAAGCTATTTACTCAATATGACGAGGTATGTAAACGATATTTTTTTTATTCATTTTAACCTGTAATGTGTTTTATGTATGATATACAGAGCAAGTATCGAATTGGGCGACGTAACCCCACACAATATTAAACAACTAAAAAAACTTAATACGGTAGTCTTCCCGGTATCATACAATGACAAATTTTATGTTGATGTATTAGAAGCAGGAGAACTTGCAAAGCTAGCATATTATAACGATATAGTTGTGGGTGCAGTTTGTTGCCGCATAGATACCTCGGAAAATCAACGCCGTTTATATATAATGACGCTTGGCTGTTTGTCACCTTACAGAAGATTAGGCATTGGCACTGTTATGTTCCAACATATATTAAATTTCGTAGAAACTGATGGAAATTTTGATAGCATATTTCTGTATGTACTCGTAATTGAATTTAAACATATAACTTAACATTTTAATTAATTACAGGCACGTTCAAATAAACAACGATGGGGCGATATCTTTTTATAAAAAATTTGGTTTTGAAATTGTTGAAACTAAAGAACATTATTATAAGCGAATAGAACCGGCAGATGCACATGTCTTACAAAAATCTCTACGTAAAAATCCTAACAACAGTGTTCATACAAATGGCCATCTGGACAAAAAAGAAAAGAAGGCTTGAAAGGTTAACTACATTAATTATTAATACATACATAATTTTCTACACAACATAACAACTGTAAACATTGTGTCATTTTAAATTTTTATTTTTTAAACCCTTAAAATTGCATAAATAAATACAATGAAATTGTTAACTATTAAAATTGATAAGCAATTATTTATGAAGCAAATGAAAGTAACACCAATAAAGCAGTAACGTTTAGAATATGTATTGATTATGAAAAGGGGAACCATATAGTAAGGATTACAATAGGAAATAAAGCAGAAAAAATTAAACAGATAGAATGGTTTAATATTCGTTATTCATTCATTACACATCATATTTTATATACAATTAATATATAGATAGAGTAATTCACAGATATATATATAGATGCGTTCAAAATAAGTAACTTACATATCGAATTTAATCGTGAATTTAAATTTATTTAATTATATGGTACATTCAAAGAGTTAGACGCATTAAATATTTTAAAAGAGATTTATTTAAAAGTTGATATTAATTAAATATACATAAATTTATCGTATTTTGATAATATAAATAATTTTTATTTTCAAGCTAATTGGTCAAAATTTTTTTTTTATTATTGTTAAAAAATAAAAATTGTGAAAAAGAAAAATTACAATTTAATTTTACAATAATTTTTTTTTAATTTTTGATCAATTCTGCAAAAAAAAACTTTATTTTTAATTTACTTAAACTTAATATAACCGTGTTTACTTTTTAGTTATAACAAACTATTATTTACTATTTAAAAATTTAAAGAATTTTTTAAATTTTGTTTTATTTAAATTATTTATAATTTTACATATTCCACATTCTTAGGAGATTCATGATTTTTCATGTTATTAGTTATGGTATTTTCTTGGAATTGAAGTTGAATTAATATGATGACATAATTTGTAATACCATGTAAAACCTTAAAAGAAACAAAAATAGTAGCATTGTACTATATATATATATATATATATATATATTATAAGACAATTTATTTTATGATAAAATTCACAATTCGTATGTATAAATCAGAATATTAAATACATTACAAACATATTACGACGTGCACAATAGATCAAACTGGTCGCAGTGCATAGGGGCCTTAGCCTAACCCGAAAACCCCAAATACCATTAACCTTATTACGGTCGTGTGCGAATTTCCTAGGAATTTTTTGCACTACACTTATGTAAATATTTATTTATATATTGCACTTATTTATAATTTTCGTTTAAAAGTTTTCAAATTTATTTATTAAACAACTTTCACAATTTTCACAAGGTAACACCTAATTTACCTGATTTTTGTTTAATTTACCCTATTCAAAATTCTGGTAAATATCAACATTCGCTCTTTTACCGACAAAATTTACTATTTCCTTCAATTTACTATCACTTTACTCGCACACGGCCTACATATTCAAGAAGCGGTCTTGAAAATAGGAACTAATTTTAATTATAATTTACTAAACGTAAATTCTTAATGAAATTCAGTTTGCATGTTAGCCGGTGTACACCTTTGCAAAAGAGCACTGTAAGAAAAATATATGTGATTAGTTTTATAATAGGATTACGATTTCTAGAGTCTACCAATTTGATTACGCATTCTAATAGACTCAGCTAATTAGATATACTCTTTTAATATGCTGTATACTTATATAGCTATAATTGAGTTGTTATCATTTTACATGAGAGATAACTAAAGACTAATAATAACCTGCTGATGAAGTACCTTTTGGGAGTGCAAACACTAACTTAAGCCATTTCTTTGAACCCGACCCATTGATGTGTCTAGGTTTCTCCGCCTTGATCTTGGTTGTTATCTTCTAAGATACCACCCAATCACTTTTCCTAATCACTTCCTAACCCACGTGCACATCTATGTAATTCCTTTCACGTTATCTGCTTTAGACAGACCTTTACTAGCTACAATAACTAGTAATAACAACTATTTTTGTTGGTTTTTACTTAAATTTTTCTAACTTTAAAGCTCGATATCTTGAAAACTAAGCTATATTGACGTATTTTAAAGTTGTTTATAGTTATCTTGCTAAAATTTGTTCTCAATTCAGCAGAATCGTGCTAGTTTTATTATATCAAACGTACGTTTGTCTAGTTTTATTTAGGAATATGATCAAAATGTAGAATGAAAGGAAATAATCTAGATATGTATATTTGTTAAATAATGATCACATATGCGATCCGTTTTCTGAAATGAAAAAGTTGCTTGTTAATGTATAACTTGGGTTCCTAGTAATATGTGGAATGAATGGTAGTAATTTATATATATGTAATATATATATTTGTTTCATTATTTACACATGTAAGTCATAAGTTTTCTCAAATCACAACCTCTCTTGCCTAATTTTCCTTAGGAAGCTAAGTAATATATAGAATGAAAGGTTATAATTTATGTATGTTTGGTAAATAATAAAAATATATACGTGATTAGTTTCTAGAATGAAGAGCTTACTTGTGAATATACCTTAAAGTCTGAGTATTATGTGAAATACATGATAGTAATTTATATACATACATTTGTTTAATTTAAAAATATATATGTTTCCTCCAATAAAGAGCTCACTTGTGTAATATACCATGGGGTTTAAGTATTATGTAGAGTAACTAACAGTAATTTATATATGTATATTTGTTAAATAATAAAAATTTATATCAGATAAGTTTTCTTCTTGTCTAAGATGCTTTGGGGTTTGAGTAATATGTGAAACGGATGATAGTATTTTTTTTATACATATTTGTTTAATAATTATAGCATATAAGTGGTTCATATATATCTCAAATGGAAATTTCATTTGTCTAATTTTACTTGGGGGTCTGAGTAATATATACAATGAGTAGTGATAATAGGTGTACATTTGTTTAATAATAAACACATACGAAGAATGCATTAGTCTAATATATCTAAGTATCTCAGAGAAATGATTCTAGAAAATAAAATTAATTTGTGAAGTAGATATTCAGGTAGTATATGAGGATTATAAATAATTGGCTTTTCAACGTATATATATTAAAGACGTACCATATAAATAACATTTAAATTGCAACGTATCGTACTTCCAATGTACAGTTTATAGTTATTGTGTGTTTTCCAGTGTAGAAACCATTCCTGATCATCGGTTTGTCGGATCATCAAAATGTGCAAACATTTTTTTTGCTATAAAACAGTAATAAGTGCTATAACGTATCTAGTGATCTGAAATGTGAACTAACCTCCTCCTCAGTCAAGTAACCATAAATAGCTGTCATAACGAGTTTATAGAAGTGGGGTAAGAGAAGAAGTATAACGAACGTATATTCAGTAGTCTTTGTTGTTGCAGTTGAAGCCTTCTGACATAATAGAAACAATAGACTTGTTAATATGCTAAAATCGTGGAAAATGCCTGCTGCAGAAACATAACCGAAAACATTATTTATGTTTATAATCAACTCTGTATACTTCCTGCAGTATAATTTTAAATTTGTTATAACTGACTTTTGATTCTGTGTTCCAGAACTGTTACTTGTTTGTTGTGCTAAGTGTGAAATGAGGCGATAACGTAAACGAAGCAAATCCATTTTGGCAATGTGTATAAACCCCACACTTCCGGTTGCAACTGTTATGCTGGTGTAAGTAGCACCTATTAGAAAAGTGGTTGGTATTCCGCAGTAGCAACCCGATAAATTAAAGACATAACTCAATGATACAATGCTGAAATATATAAAAATTGCAATTGTTGTTGGAGCATACTTTCGCATTGTTTTCTGATAGTTCCATTTAATGAACGGATAGTCGATCTGTAGACTTCTATCTAAGTGTTCGAACTCAGACATAAGCTGTATTAAGTTACGCTTTTGTGCATCGATCATTAATGTCGCTTCGATGTATGTAATTAAATTGGCCAAACATTCAAAAGTCAAGATGAACTTTGTTACAGGTGTTAGTCGACCAAACATCGCCTGGGCACTATCCTTATCGTTTAGTTTTAATGCAAAACCTCCCACAAATCCAACTATTAATATCACTCGAACTATGTATGTATAAATAATAGACGACAAATCAATGACCAGTTTTCCGTCTTTTTGTTTGAAACTTACACAGCCGGTGTAATAGAGCACTTTATACAGCAATTTGAAGCAGTCATAGATTGTGCGAGGCTCTTCATTTAATATTTTAAACATGTTTCAATTCAACTAGAAATAAGTGACTAACTAACTGCCTTAATAAAGTGGTCATATTTATTGTATACCTAATTGTTTCATAGACTAATCTATTAAATCTTTTAATTGACTTCATTCCATGTATTCCCATCTGATACGCAGTAGTTATTATCTTTATATCTAATTAATTAACTCTAAATTTCCAAATATTTAGCTTTTTATTTACTAGTATAGAAAATAATGGATTGAATTCACGTGAGCAAAGTCTAGACACAGACCTAAATGTAATACAATGGTATTGTTAAGGATGCTATCGACGAAATTGATTATATTGTGCTATATCTATATAAGGGGAAATGCGAGTATGCTGAATTATAAATAGGGTACAAATCGTAGTTATTGAGCGGGATGGACAGAAGCTTTTTCGTGTTGTGGGTGGGGTATAGTGAAAAAACGAAATAAGGATAAAAAAGGCACTCAAGGAGTTGATGATTTTTCAAAATCTTAATCTTTTAAATGCATACGAAACGTTTTCAAACAAAAATGTGAAAGTAATTAAAGACATAGTCTTTAAAAAGATCACTCTTCCTAAGCAAATTTGAAAACCAAACAGAATACTGAATGAAAATATGCACAGTATTCGTTTTTTAAGAATATTTATAGTCAAAGACGAATTTATACAAATTTGGAGGATTAGAATTACGCGCTTTTTGATAAAAATGTATATTGGTGTGATTGTGATAAATTATGAATACGAAAGCATGCTAACATTTTCGACACCAGTAAAAAGTTATATACATTTATTATATAAATTAATTTTCATTTTATAAAACGAAAAGAAACACTCCTAATTGGGATTGAACGTTTTTTAAGATTGAATAATGGAATTCAAGTAATCTAGCAGCTCTGTGATAGACTAATGTAAAATTATTGCGGAAGTGTACGAATATGAAAATAGTGATATTTTATGAAAAATTAATAATTATTATATTATTGTCAATAATTTTGAACTTACTGGTCTTTCAGAACTAACAGATCTAACTATCTTGATATATGCGAGCATATCACAATCGTCATTTCTTCTCAGAAACTTTTCCACACTCTAGATAAACATATAGCCAAGATTACTTTGATTTATTTTGCAATCTTGTCGGCTCCTTAACTGATATCGCAATTATAATCTATAAGTGTTCCATTATTTTAGGTTAAGTTAAACCGGCGATCCCGAGGGATCCACTTAGGCCAATAGACCCATTATACGGTAACTATAATTAAATAACCCAAGTATTAGAACCCTTCAAAGTTTTTGGCAAAACTTATAATGCTTTCCCTCGGTGGCATAGTGCGTAGCCAATAGCACTACCATACACCTGGGTGTGAGTTCGATTTCCACTTGTAGCTTGGTGGATGGGTGAAAAAAATATACCACAGGAGATGCCTAGCCTCAAAATAAACCATAAAAAGTAAAAAAAGGAGGCATCCTAGGTTTGCTCAGGGGATAATAATGGGCATTGGTCCCCCTTTAAGTTTATCCGAAGAATCGCCATGAAAGTGATGGACCAAGGTCGAAGTTGTTAGGCATATATGTATATGTTGATGCAGTTCTGTAGCAATAACAGAAACATTCCTTAGTATAATAGATATTTATGTGCAGTATCGTTTATGCCTTTGTATACTATATCCTTTTAATGCATATATTGACTCATTTGAATCATATGATCAATCTATCAGTACATACCAGAGAACTGCAACGAGTCAAAATTTTAACACTTAGAGTACACACATAAAAAACCAAGTATACCTTCTATACTATATGTTTTTAATGCACATATTGATTCGTATGAATTCGTATGAATGTGATTAACTTATCAGTACATACCAGAGAACTACAACGAGTTAAAATTTTAACACTCAGAGCATTCGCCACAGAAATGATAAGAGTTTGAATATAGGAATCAGGTGGAGTTAAATATACGAAAGGAAATAGAGCCAATGATTCGAGTGTTGATTACTCAATGCATTCTCTGGTACATAAAAGTCAATAAAAATTAAGAAAATACAATTATGCATGTTTTATAAAGTATTTATTAACTATATAGGTATATACATTTATTTACATTTGTGGTGCAAGTTTACATACATTTTTTTAATTTTTAAATATTCTAAAAAGATAAAAGTTTGTTTTTAAGAAAAAAAATAAAACGAAAGCATCAATATTTTTTAAAACCTAAAAAGTTTTTCATTTTTAAAATCGTTCTTCGAAATCTGCAAATAAAAAAAACAATTTGTTATAGTTGGTGCTAGGAACATAATCAGAGCGAAACGAGATTTAAAAAAGCGATAGTATGATTTTATACATTAGTTGATAACGTATATGCTTTTATCGCTTATCAAAAAATGTACTGAGTTCTACTATTACTTTTTATTTATCAAAATTCTAGTATCATTCACACTCTGCTATATAAGGTTCTTAACACATTAATAATCAGTTCCATTGATCTAAACCATTTGTCTGTTTATTAGTAATCTGCTAGTTTCTTTTTCATATTATGGCCGTATGTTAGTTCGAGTAAATTGATGGTAAATTGAGGGAAATGGTAAATTATATCGGTATGTCAGCGAATGTTGGTATTTCCCAGAATTTTGATTAGAATAAATTAGATAAAAATTAGGTAAATTAGGTGTTACCATTGTAAAAATTTTATAAGATGTTTAATAAATAAATAAATAAATTTGAAAACTTTTAACCAAAAATAATAAATACCTTAAGTGCAATAAATACATTTACATATAAAATGTAATAAATTTACATAAGTGCAGTGCAAAAAATTCCTAGGAAATTTCAATATACTTTACCTCAATTTACTCGAACTCGCACACGGCTTAGATAAATAAGGCATATATTTATGAAAACAATTGATACCAATATTAATAAATTTTACTATATCATAGCACTGATAACGACATTTTATATCCTGTAAATCGATTACTATAGTATCTTAAGATATCTTCTATAGAATAGTGCGAATGATAATTAATTTTAATTTTTAAAGAAATAATCTATTTTTACAGAAGCTTTACCAAAATGTGTCAAAGTTCTTTCAAAAGACAAAAGTGGTTGGCTTGGATATGTACTCAAAGTGTTATATGCTGAACGTATTAATTTTGCGTATTTTTTTATTTCAGATGCCCTCAAAATATCCAGTAGATTTAGATCTTTATTCCAAAAAAACGGAAGAACGCCATCTTGAAAATAGTCATCTAAGACATTCAACATCTACATTAAATATAAGGAAGAATATTAAATAACTTTTTTTATTATTTTAATCATTATTAATTTTAAAATATGTAAATTTTTCTATTTAGAGAGTGTCGTAGATAGTAGAAAATGAAAAAAAATGGGTCATATTTTCAAAAAAATCTAAGCACTCCTAACTACTTGCAATTATGAATCAAACTTTGACAACGTCTTCATGATTGCGGTTAAACTATTATGACGATTTTTTAATGTTGGTTAAGTGCTATATCAAGACCTAACTAATAGTAAAGACTATAATCAAAATAATCATTAAAAATATACAATATATGAGTAGAAAAATGAAATAAATAGGACAGACTGTCAGTCATTGAATTTTTAGAGGTTGCTGCGTCTGCGTCTTAAACCCTTATTAGAAGATCGGTCGTCTGAAAAGGTGAGTGCTTTCAAACCGCTCCTAGTCTCAGCCCCACTCGTTAACTTAGGAACTGCTGTCATCTGGACCACAACAAGCAGTTCAACGCAATTGAAACAAAAAATATATAAAGGTTCTGAAAGTGTCAGTGTCTGCGTTCCGGATATATTTTATGTAAGTATACATATTTAAAAAATCTACTTTTCTAGTAAAGCAGATAGTGGTAAAAGCGTTAGCATCAATATATAAACTGTTATGTTTTAGTGAGATCTCTGCTCCGCATAAATATGTATTTTAATTTAACTCTAAATTTCTTTTACAGAAAATTGCAGTTTTAAACCTTCTTCTCAAAAATTGTCTTAAAATTAAGAGACATGAATTTTTGAGTGTTTATTTTGACTGGTTCAAAACTGCATACTCAATTAGACATATACATATGTATGTCCAATGTTCACAACATTTTCATGAGTACAGATTTTGGTATGGATGTTGTTGTCTAGAGAGTGCCACCGTTCTTAAGTAAGTCAACTTAGTGCGATGCAATTTGCTAATATGGTAACCTTAATAGAAATAGGAAGTATGTAATTCTTGCTCGGCGATGGCAAGTCGTTCCCGAACAAATAACCAAATGTTTCGGGGACTTAGTATGTATGTTTTAATTTTTTAAAAGTTCGTAATGAAATAAAAAAAAACGTATAAAGAGTCATATCTTGAGATAATAATTGTACTATGTTTATTTAAATAATTATAGACTCTGAGATCACGTTACTCAATGAGTTTTTACAAAGAAACTATATACCATAGTGAACTTCACTATTTGAAGAGTGAAAAGGAACACATACCTCAAATGTTAAACTACAAATTTTTGAAACTTTTTGAAAAGAGTGACACTTTAGGATAAAAATTTTAATTAAATAAATATAATTATTTGCTTAAATCTTAAATTGCTTATATCAGAACACAAAAAATATAAATATACATTCTACTGCATTTTATATATTTTGTTCATACGCTTCGGTGAAAAGGGGGATGTCCCGTTTTCAAGCTTTCCGTTTATTTGTAACTAAAGAATACAGATTCATCTCGTTTTTGGAAACTGACTTAATAGATTTTAAGATCTGTGATTCTGTGATATGAAAAGCATCATGTTATTGGGGTCGATTCGTAAACTTTCTTTAAAATATGTGATTGACCACCTGAGCCGATACGATTCCGATTTCAACGAAACACTTCAGCTTCTTGACTTGCTGTTTTATGCTATAGGATTCTTTTACAAAATAATTTAATCATTATTTCCTTGTTTAAAAAGAATAAAAGTAATAAGTGTTTGAAGACTTGAAATTGACCTATTTAAAGGCAATAAAAATCTGACCATCTAAATTTATTAGCATTCAAAATTTATAAAAAATTTTACTTGGGTCTTTAATGACTGAAAAAAATTTTTTTGATGTTTTTCTTAAAAAAAGTTTTATTTTTAAATAAGTTTATATTATTTTAACTATTATGCTTATCAAAAATATGAAAGAGAAAATATAAATAACATCATACTTACATGAATTAAGAGATCGCTTAAGCTATTTTCCCAAAAAGAAGGTTTGTTTTTTGTAATTTCCCAAAAGAAAGCTGTCGTAAGGAAATAAGTTTTAAAGCGTTTCATTTTATAGCACCTGCAAAGTGCCTTCAATAAACAGAAAGTAACTTTTAAATGTTGGCGGTCATGCAACAATTTGTTTTCACCATGAGGATTGCATATCAAAAATGAACAGTATTTTGTTCTTTTATTTCCGAATGAAGGCTTCGGAACTGCATACCAAGTCTTATTTCGCGTTATATAAGACTTAAACGAATTTAACTTCATCCAACTTTGTTTTTGAAACATTATACCGGGAACAAAATCAATTAAAATTTTGCGGTTATCGCAATGAGCATATATTGTGTGAGTTAAGCCTCGAGTAGAATACTCCAAAAAGTAAACGTCTCTATTACAGCCCAAAACTCGATAATCCAAATTTTCTAAGCCTGCGCAAAATAACTTACTAATCCAATATTTCAGGCATGATCTATCTAAGTAAAAATAATCATTCGTTAAGTCATCTAACAAATCATACAGACTGTCATAAGTTTCGTCTTCACTCATTTTATCCATAACATCTTTTAAATTTATATAAATAAATCCAGGCCGTTCATCATCTAGTTCCATTTCTACTAACGAAGAAAATGGTATTTTTAAGTTAATTATAGCATCGAATTCGTCTGGTATATTTATTGGAACCTTAGTTGATTGACTTCCTGAATTTTTTATAAAAATTAAAATCAAATTATTTGTAAATTATGTGAATACATTCAATTACCAAATAAAGAGGTGCCATTGAAAAGGTCACGGAAATCTTCATCTATTTGACAAATACTAAGGAATATCTGATCACGTATGACTTCATATTCTTTAAAGTATAATTGCCTGTCACAATCTGATATTTTTGTGTCGAACCCAAGTAATGTTAAGTGTTTCTCAAATTGATACATTTTGGTACGCTATAAACAGATTCAAAACAAATCGTATGTAAGTAAAGTAGTACTAAAATTTATATAAACGGCTATAGAATAATAATTCATCCTTGATATCTCAAAACTTAACTAAATTTATTTAAAGTGTGTTTTTATGTCAGATGTAATAATCCATTGATTATTCGAAATATTATTTTTATTTGTTAACTATTGCTTGTTAACTGCACTAAAAACTCGCAAAAATGTAAATACTAGTACAAAAAATTATTATAGTATTGCCTGGGATGTGATCGGACCATTATGTTTTTAGTGTATTTCGAATTTAGTTACATTCTGTGTGAAAAAACAGAAATTGAATTTATTAGCTTCCATGTATTTTAATTCATATTTGCCAAACAACTGATTGATATTGAATCAATCATATCATAATATTGAATCGCTGGTTCAATATTGAATTGATGGCGTCAAAACTATTATAACCCACTAATATTGGAATCGCACTGGCATCGCAGTTAAATATCTTCACATGTCACTTCCATTAATAATGGACAATTAATAATTGAATGCTCTCCATTTACAAATTCTTAATTTTTGTGTATATTATGAAATTAAACTAAAAAATATGTAAATAGAAAATTGTTGAATATAATCACAGGAAAAAAGAAAGAGAAACCGAGAAAGCAGAGAGAGGAAAGATAGAAAGGAGAGACAGAAAGGAGAAAGAGAGGAGGGAGATAAAGGATAGGAGAGAGAGAAAAAAGAAGAGAGGGGAGAAAGAAGAGGGGAAAGGAGAGATAGAAAGTAGGAAGAGAGAAAAAAAGGATAGAGAGAGAAAGAATAGAAAGAAAAAGGAGAGAAAGAAAGAAAAGAGAGACAGAGAAAAAGCAAATGAGAAAGAAAGAAAGAAAAGAGAGAGAGAAAGAAAGAAAAGAGAGAGAGAAAGAAAGAAAAGAGAGAGAGAAAGAAAGAAAAGAGAGATAGAAAGGAGGTAGAGGAATTCCCTAATGCGTCCTGGAACTAAAGGCAGAAAGAAGAAATTGTACTAAACACATAAGGCTAAAGCAGAAAAAACGACGGGCGAAATCAGAAGAATAGTGTAAAAACTTCAATAATGGAAGGGAAGTTTTTACAACACCACATATTACAAAGGAAATTAAAGGGTTTAATAATGACAAGACATATTCTATGAAAAGCAGGTAGAGAGAGAAAGAGAGTGAATACATTACCAGAGAGAGTGACTCTAAACACATCAGATTAGATATTCACGGAACAATCACTTCTAAGTCTTCTAACACAAACGAAAATATTGAAAACAGAATTGATCTATGCCCTTGATGAGTAAAAAAAAATAACAGTTATTAAAAAAAGATATCAGAAAGAAATTATTACTGTTATGTATGAAAAATTCTCGACATTACCTACTAAGCTAATAAAATGAAGTCAGAAATTTAGAGTGTCCTTATAACAAATTGGGCTTATTTTCTTTTTAACATTTTTATTATTCAATTAAAATAACCTGAAAAGCCCCGAAGAGACTTTCCCAAAATTCAATCAGCCATTCCATCAATTACCAATGTTAAGCAAAATAGTTGAAAAAGTGATTCTTTTAAGATTCAAAGAATCAATAATATTGAAGTAGAGCAATATGGATTTCCAAAATACAATTTCACTCAACGACAGTTGTCCAATGTGTAGTTCAATGAATCTAATCATTAGACCTTGTCATGATACAGCAAAGGCACTCGAAGTTAATAGTCAAAATGGAACGTTTTCACAAAATCTGTACAACTTCTTGAAAAACCGTAAATTTCGATCATGTTTTCAGTCCATAATGTTAAGTTTAATGTGAGTGTCCATCGTGAAAAATGGATATTGTGTCAGAAAGTGCTCTGAAGTCGTGCTCTCTCTCATGATGAGATAGAGTGAAACAATATGCAGTCGGAGTCATAAGTCTACAAGCAGGAGGTACAAAAAACTTTGAAAATATTTTCCAAAAAAATCAATTTATTGGAAACATACTTTATTGTTTTTTTATAACATTCAATGCACAATGTTTTTGCGAACTTTCATTTCATGTGTTCAAAAAACAGCCGAGATAACGGTACTTTTATCATAAAGAGTAGCAAAACAGGCGATGAAAAGTCTACAAGCACTAAGTATAAGGAGCCACTCGTTGACTTCGACGATTAAGCGTCGTTCACCATACTCAAAAGGATATCATACTACACAAGCAGATCTTTGCGGGTTACAACAGCAAGTGATGAAAGTGTGATAGCTGAGGGACTTGCTTAGGAGTGCAAATGCATTGGGGATGGGCAGATCATATTATCTGCTTAATGGATCTATTCGGCCTTTAACAACAACAACATTAGTAAATATGTACAGACATACATACATAATAAGTAATCCAATCTTTTTGTCGTATATACTGAGGTGATTAGTGCTAGGTTAGCTTAGGCTGGAGTGGCGGCCTTGTGCCCAAAGACCAATTGTGCTCCAATAATGGCCCGTTGTGATACCACATGATGTGATTAGTGTGTTAGTTACTATGTCCAGTTATTCCTGATATATGTATGTATGTAGCTATAAATATTATTTATGATACTTGAGCTGTGGGTGAACTGGAGGATCGTCCAATATAACAAAATGTAATCATTAAAGTAACTAAATAAACTATCACACTATCAAATTTTTGTTTTTTAAGTTAAATTTATATAAATACGAATACATAGAAAAAATTTAATACATATCAAAACATTAATACATATTTACTATGCACATAACAAGCAAATATATACAACTATTATTATTGTATATAACGCATTCATTTGTAATACAATGTATATATGTATGTATGTTTTTGTGTTCTAAACGGTGTTTGCTGACTTTGTTTTACACTAACCCCTCTTTCCGCATTTACTCCCCTCCACTTAACATTTATCGATTTGATATGAAAAAAAATATATGTATATACAGAACATACGTACATATTTATGCACAGATAAATACTTACTCACATACATACCTACATACATACATATGTATATTGCAAGAAAAGACCGTTGTTTAAGCACAGGCACGAAAACCATCAGAAGGTTACGCTGCCACATAGGCCGCCTAGCTCGACAACAATAGCAACAACATCAACAAACAAACTAAATATAAAAAAAAAAAACGTAACAAACTGAACCAGCAGCGACGACCCACCAACCAAACCAAAGCACAGCACAGCATAGCACAGCACAACATGCCATTTAATGCTTGATATTCCTCCTTACATTCACACCATGCCATGCCTGCGCTGGTTACGCGACGACTTCAATGTACGCTAACGTCAGCTTACTAAAAAGCACAAGTTGTACTCGCAGTCGTTGTCGTCGTTATTTTTGTTATTGTTTTTGTCACTGTTTGGGCGATAACTGGCGCTGATGTTACAGTCGTCGGTTTGCAAGAGGATGGCGAAGGCAAGAGGAAGCAGCAACACAAAATACAACAATACAGCCGGGCTAGAGCATTTCAAAGTAACGTGCACAAAACAGGAGTAGTGTAATATACGTACATACATACGTACGTACGTACGTACGTACAAATGTACGTACATATATCAACGGGTATAGCAGCAACATTGTACGAATTATAGCGAAGTGGGGGTATTGACGGGTAGCGACACACAGTTTTTTAGTTACCAAAAGCAAACAGGCAGGCAGGCAGGCAAGCAAGCAAGCAGTGCATATAGTAGGGAATGTGTAAGTAGGAGGATGGAGAACGCGGAATGGATCGATGGCGAGGTACGACGGCAAACTGCACACACGCATACAAAAGTAAAGCGGTCAGGCAGAGAACGCTAGCAGCTACAGCGGCAGCATCAAGAATAACACTAAAAATAAAGTAAAAACATAAAAGCGACGCATCAACAACAGAAACAGCAGTTGATGGCACGACGATAACAACAACAGTGCTGATGAAAACCACAACAACAAAACAGCAAAAATAAAAAAATAAAAAAAAACATAATATAGCAGATATGCGACCGTACTTCTACTACTTTACCTTTCGGCTGAGCACCGCCAGCAGCCCCCATTGTTAGCGACTGCACTAGTGCAAACAACTACACAGCAGCTTGTGTGTTTATTTAGATGCATATACGTATGTATCTACATATGTATATGCTATATGTACGCGATTATGTTTATGTTTATAAATAAATTGCACGGAAAGCAAAAGCAAACAGTATTTATGGCGGTAAAAGAAAAAAAAACAAAGCTTAAATATAACATAGCGGTATAGTGCAAAAAACTTTAAACATTTAACCGAATTATTGTTCGGTTAAATGCATCAGGTTACTTCTAACTGTGTTAAACAAAAATTACAGAAGTTAATTAAAATAATATTAAGAACAGTTCTATTGCCGCCTAAAATATGTACATTCATGTATGAATCCTCAATCTTAACTGACTCATATGATAACGACGACAAATGCCTTTTTTCCATATTACTTCACTATCCTTTACCGCTTTGGCTAATAGCAGCTAACTTTGTGCTATGTAAATGTGATGCGTTAACAGAACCCGCCTGCGGGCAATTCAACAAGAGTGCTCGTTTGGAGTTAAGGAAAGGAAAGCAGCGACATTTTGTGCGCTTACGTTGTCGCCTTTGCAATGAAAGCGACAGCGACGACGCCAACACCAACGCCAACGCCAAAGCTAACGTCTGCACATATTGTGAAGAGGGACTTCTAGTGCTGCTGCTGCTGTTGATGGTTTTTGCTGTTTGTGTGGTGGTTGTTGTTTCAAACATCGTGTATGTGTGCTCATCATTCAAGTGTCCGACTTTTGTCGAAGCGGTCGTTATATCGGAACTTTTGCGTGCAAATAAAATAGCAGCGCATTTAACGGCGGTCAAAATATGTGAACTATGTACGCAAGTGCATATAATATAAACACAAATGTGTGTCTGTATGTATAGACAAAAGTTTAATATAATAATAAGCAACTACATATGTATGTATGTATATTCACATGTGTGTGTATGTGTGTGTATCAGCTCGCTATTGTGAATTTAATTTTTGAAAATCCAACAACAACCATCGTGCAGCAAATTAAGTTAAGTTTTACTGTAAATTGAATAAGATTTTCGAAAGCACTTCAAAATGAAAACGCCGCGAGTTGCTAGTGAATCTTCTACAACATCAGATAACACAGCAGAATTTATTGATATAGTCAAGAAGTACGACATTGTATATAACACGCATAATCCTGACTATAAAAATGTCGAAGTTAAAATGAAGGTTTGGACACAAATCGCCAACGAAATTGGTTTGTCCGTTGGTAAGTAGAAACAGAAACGGTGCAGAAAAACACACAAGACAATAGAAAATGTAAAATCTCTAAAAAAAAAAGCAAAAAACCACTAAAACAAAAACAAAATAAAGTAAACAACAAAAAAGAAGAGACTAACAACAAATCCTCGGCATCCAAGCAAATGACGTTACTTGCGTAAAAGTTACAGGCGAGCAAGACTCGCGAAAAAGAGAACGAGAGCATTTCGCTACATTGTTTATTTTCTATGTGCGCTCGTTTAGTTTTATTGTTCTGAATGTGTTGCTTGCAATGGCATTCCAGTAACAACAAATACTAATAAATAATATATTTAAAAAAAATTAAACTTCAGGCAACTGTATACTATATGCAAATATTGTATAATTTGTGATGATTATTAATTGTCTTTGTATATAATTAAGTTTTGAAATTATTTGCATTTAATTATATTATAATTAACGCATTAGAACATATTTCATTTTAATAAAATAACTTTTCTCTATTATTTCTTAATTAATTACCACTTATCACAAATTTTTAGTTAATTCAAATTGATTTATCAGACTTTAAAGATGCTAAATCATTGAAAATACTACAAAAAATCCAATTTGATGAAAACACCGCTTATCACAATTTCATTCGGCATATAAAGGGGATGTCCAAAATTTTTTTGTATTAGATTTGTATATTGTGTGTATTTAGATTTTTTTCAAGTAAAAGTAAATTTTAAAATAAATTAATATATTAAAAAAGTTTAAAAAAAGAAACAAAATCAAAAATTACAACGAACTATCTTACAAGTTTTTAAACGCTAAGTGCACAGAACAACCGCGACTCCACTGCACCTTCGACAAAACTCTGGTAGAATTTATTATGCACTTGTGCTTACGACTGATTTTTGACAGTGTTACCATATTCGAAATCGTAACATTTAAATTTGTGACCACTTTTTTCACATATGCGATTTTCAAGGAATTGACGATCAAGGAATTGACACATACTAATTATAATGCAATACGTTATTAGTAGAGTTATTAAAGAAAATATTAGGCCCACTATAGATTATAAATGCATTTTTGTTATATATTTAATATAATAGAAAAGAATATAAAAATAAATTCATAAAGTTTCACTTGATTTTCAAAAACAAAAACAGAAAAATATTTAATAAAAAAGTATGAGCAACACATAATTTTATTATTATTTTATAGTAATATAATAACATAATAAGTAATAATATAATATAATAAGTAATAATATAGGACGTATACGAGTTAGGCTAAGTTGCGTTCTAAATGAGTGAAATTCTAAGTTGTGCCGATAATTTCGTGATGTGTCGATACATATTGATAAATGGCAAAATGTGTGCAGTGCAAAAAATCCCAAAAAATCTCCCATTTGGTTAAGCATCAAGTTAGCCTAACTCGCAAACGTCCATAATATAGGCCGTATGTGAGTTCAAATAAAAGGATGGTAAATTGAGGGAAATAGTAAATTATGTCGGTATGGCAGCGAATGTTAGTATTTATCAGAATTTCGAGTAGAGTAAATTAGATAAAAATTAGGTAAATAAGGTGTTACTATTGTGAAAATTTTATAAGATGTTAAATAAATAAATTTGAAAACTTTTAAACGAAAATAATAAATAAGTTCAATAAATAAATATTTATATAAGTGCAGTGCAAAAAATCCCTAGAAAATTTCAATTTAGTTTACCTCAATTTTCTCGAACTCGCACGCAGTCATAATAAGTAATATTATAATAATAATATAATATAATAATATATGGACATAAAATTATACATTTTTTTTATATAAATTTTCAGTAAAGACTTATTTGTTTTAATTTTATTAGGGACCGTTCAAGTAATACGCAATGCAAATTTTTGTTATTTTAGAACCTTCTCTTCCTTTAAAACAGTCTATCGAAAATTTATACACATACTTATTCTTTGGAATAAAGTTTTTGTGATAATTGTTGGCTGATCATACCATTTTCTGCAAGTAGTGAAAACTGTAGTGATTACGGAGTGCATTGGCGCTATTTAGTTAACCTACAACCAATCACCAACCTGTACGGTTAATAAAAGATATTATATTTCACACATCTATGTTTGTGATGATCGTCAGGCTTCTTAGTTCGTAGGTTATTATAGTACAAAGTCTTAATATTGTTACATTTGCATTTTCTATATATTTGGTTCAAAGAGATTATCAATTTTTCGTGACCGCTGCCCACTGATCAGTAGACTGTCATCGCCACAGCGAGTTTTACCACTTTGACCTCGGCTCTATGATTTTCGTAGCTTATATATGATTGATTGCAAATAACGGTTTTTTGTATATCTTAAATAAAAACAAAAACGCGTGTTCATTATTTGAATCGTTATTTTAGACTGAAAAGGGTTTTAATATGTCACAATTGAAAAACTTAGCGTTGCTTCCAATAATTATGCTTATTAGACATAAACATTCCAAAAGCATAAACACTTGTGGTTTAAGAAGAATACCAGCTAAGCAAAATACATATTGGAAGCAATGATAATATAAACAAAAATACAATATTAGAAGCAACTATGCTTTTTTAAGTTAGGGTATATTGATTGGAGTATCATCTATGTTATTTACATATATATCAGTTATACAAAACATTACAGTACATTAAAAATAAGTATTAATAGTTCGTGGTATTCCAAAGAAGGTTTTTCAAAGCGTAAGAGAAGTTTTGGAATAGTTTAAAAAATAAAATAAAATGTAAAATAACTTAAGGCATCAATTGTGCTAACTTAATGTATAACTAAGTCAATTTTGAGACTGAAGTTACGATTGTTAAATTGTCCTTGATATATACGAATATATTCTACACAATTGATCTTTATTTGCGAGATCTGGTTATATTTTCGTTAACTATAACATTTTAAATATGTAATAGAAACTTTCTGACACCTGTAGATTTTGTGATATCTGGAACATAACATAACACAGACTACTTACATATATTTTCGTGTTATATTGTTTAAAAATGAGTTCTATGCTTTAATTTTCTATGATTTAACCTGGCATTGAACAAAGTTTTCTCAGAAAGCAGTCTTTGATCTATAATGCGATTTTATAATACATAATATACTGCGATTTTCAGTTGCAATAAAAGTTTAAAGTTATGGATTCTCCAAATACAAAGGGACAAAATACGTCATGTACAACCGTCTCCTCAAGAATTTTTTTTATTAAATTTATGATAATTTTTTACCAAACTATATATATTTATTTTTGCAGCGTATGTAATGTCTGCTTTCTAACTCTAAGAAATTAAAGAGGTGTCAGATGGTCGGTCTCGCCGGCATCAACGATTAGTCTAACGCCTCCATTAATACAGGAAGAAACTAGTTGTTTGATATTACTATAATATTAAACAGTTGTATCCATAGGGCTAAATCGATTTAATACAACAAAGTATCGTAGAAATTTAACATTTAAAGAAAGATATATGGAAAGATATATGTACATGTGATTTATCGGTGGATGAAGAAAAACTGAGAATTTTTCTTCCCATACATTAGGAGCGGCGGTTATGATTCATGTAAAAATTCAGTGATTATCGTAAAATAATCATTAAAAAAAATTTGAAAAACGGTTAGTTTTCTTTTATATAAGAAACTTCGCCTGCTTCGTATTATCCATATAGAGGTTTTAAGCGCCATCCTATACCTAGTACTCACGATATCAAGAAACAGATGGAGTGAAGTATTTTATGATATATTCACTTAAGTCATGCTACGAATATAAGACTGTTGTTGGTGCTTGGACACACAGTAGTGAAGGGGGTCTGATTACACAGATTTAAAATGTATATAAAAGTAACAGACGACAACAACCATATTCTAATTATACAGACTACGGTACCATTTTTAATCTGTTAATGCACACCATGTTTAAAATAGCTATTTAATGGTACCCATATTCCAAGATATGTGTTAATTAGGACATTAGGGCAGTTCCTTCACATTACCAGCTGATTGTTAAACACCTTTTTTTATATGAGCTTATAAATTCAGTATTTGTACTTGTCGATTGTTTCTCACGAAACGTAAAATTATTGGAATAACATAATATTTTGAGAACAATTCGTCTTTTTATATGTAGAAATATATATACCATAAATGTAAGAATATATATACCACATTGATATAGTATTTTCAATTAAAACAAGAACTGTATATAACAATTTAATTTAAATTTTATTTAATCTGATTTGTTAAATATGATTGAAATATGAGTTGAAAATTTACATAATTTAATTGTTATAAATTAATATATTTTTTAATTGAAATATATTATTATTATTTTTAAGATGCGGCGAAACGAAAATGGAAAAATCTACGGGACAGTTACACCAAGTATTTACGTTCATTTCGTACAGGAACCAAAACATCTAAAAAATATCAATTTTGGGCTCATGCAGAACATATGGTTTTTCTTAGACCTTATCAAGGTCCAGGCAGGTATGATCTCTTTATCTGAATTATTAACTGGTTTTAATTTATTCTTGTTTTATGTAGAAATCCGAACAATAATGTAAAGACAAAAAGCGAAGAGGAAGATAATGAATGCGATCTAGGTTATCAAGTATTAACAAAAGCATCAACAAATTTAGAGGATGATATAAGCAGAATATCAACTACAGTTACCACTGCACCTATTCAAAACGCACCTACAACTACTCAAACAATAGCTATAATACCACCAGCTGTAAGTTCTCTCACACCATCTACGGGGATTTCAACTTATTCATCGATAAGCAGTTTTGGATCTTTAACTACAGCTTCAATAAATAACACTGCGTCTGGTACAATATTGTTGCCGGTACCATCATTGCCTCATGTACCATTGCCACCACAGTTGTGCAAATCAGTATTAAGTCAGCCCACACTTCCTACGCTAGCAACAACTATGCCAACACAAATATTTCCCCAACCTCAATTACCAAACATTATCAAATCTGCATTACCAATAACGGCTAGCAGTACTTCGAATAGTGTTGGTTGCCTCATTATTGAGCCTCAATTATTTGCATCAGCTGATACCTTTAAAAAGGAGCTGGGCTCCCATTCCAACCTTAATTTGTTCCAAAATACGGTTTCATCAGTACCGGTTATATCATCACCTGCTTCAACTAAGTCAGCGCAAGCACCGTCGAGCAACAAAATACGTCGTGTACAACCGTCTCCTCAAACTGCAGCCATTAATCTCAGCTTTTCTGCTACAACACCAAACGTACAACCGCCTCAACCCAAAGTACGAAAATTAAATGATAGAAGCGATATTGACATATCTGCAATATTACAAGCGAATCGCGATTTGGATGCCAATACATTATTTTTCCTTAGTTTAGCAAAAACAGTACGCTCCATGCCAACGAAGTTTCAATCGTTAGCTAAAATGCGTTGTATGCGCATTGTCAGTGATATTGAGTTGGAACTGGAGAACGCAATTGAATGCAATGGTTCTATTGCGCCAGACGATGGTATGAATGGCAATTCTAAATACTGTAGCATTGATACTCCACCACCTCCGAACGAAGGAGGTTGCATACAAAATCCAGTAAATGAAGGTGCAACTGAACACTTTGTGTATGTTATGTCTCCATCACGTGTGGAAAGCATGATTGATATTTCGTCCGACGAGGAATCTGGTCTTAATGGCAAATAAATTTGTTGATATTTAAACTGTAGAGCTTAAAGAATAAAATAAAAAATAAGAACATGTAAATAGAAGTATAAATATATATAAAATTCTGAAATATATGTAGAACTGAAAAATTTATTTAATTTTTGTAGAATACTTTTAGTTTCTAACTTTTATTTCGA